GCATCTATACCAAGCTCCTAGGCAAAGCTCAAGCAAGTTCATGTGAGCATCCTAAATTCCTGGTCCATATATAAAGAGATTGGTTATGTAATTTTAGTTGCAGYTCATTAAATTTAAGGATTAGGAATCAAATATTGTTTGATGAAAAATGTCTTGTATTAAGAAGATGAGAGGATACTAGTAGAAAAGGGGCAAAGAGCACACCTGGGCTCAGGTGGAAGGTGCACCAGGCACACCAAGTGAGCCCCTTTTCAAAGGGGCTGACTGCTCCTAGGCCTAGGCGAGGCACATGCCTTGAAACACATCTCATCTGTGCACCAATGCACGCCTTTTAAATCACAGAAGGTAAGATACAAAGCATCCCCCTTAGAAAACACATTGTCAAGTAGGCATTGTCTTGATAACTATGCACATAATTAGGAGAATGAGAAAATAGCAGWTGTAACATCTGTTGCCACCTGGTAGACCCAATCCATTCTCAAGGTTTCATAAAGGTTTCATAAAGCCCAATCAGTCAAACTGGGCTGAGAATTTTAGGCCAAAAAGAAGCTCTTGCGGACTAGGATTTGTATGATTTGTGCTCAAGACCACCCAGTTTTAGGCAGAAACAATAAAAGGCATAGTGTTATATGAGACTAATTATGGTAACATTATCATATCAACAATGCATAGAATAACTTGGAAAGAAGTGCACCATCACTCTACATTATAATTTATTACATTACTACTTACCATTTTTTTTGAAGTGCATTACTACTAACCATTAATTGCCAATCCTAAGTCAAAGGAACCAGACATGAAGGGGAAAAAGAAAAAAACATACATGCACTTAAAATGAAATAATAAGTGGCTGTTCCCATAACAGCTGAAGTGCATGAACTGAACGACTTTGCTTTGTAGAAAGAAATGATTCAAAGGCCCACAGTTTAACAATGGATATGGCATTGAACAGAATAAATGGTGAAACAGGATTCATCTGTTTATCTGCTAAAAGGCAAAGCAACGAGTCTTTCACTTCAGCCCATTCATCTGGTTATCAAATAGACCCTAAGCTTCTAGAACTGAAGGCTACACTTGTACAACAACTTACTTTCCAAAACCAGAAGATTTGGCGTTCTGTTTCTTTATAGCCATTGTAATCAGTATGTGCTTTCCAATCCTCTACACAAATCGCCTTTTCACTTCCATGCAGCATACGATCAAGATCTTCAAGCTCCAAACTTTTGAAAAAGACCTTTTGCAAGCTGGAATTACAAAGAATATCAGAAAATCCTCGAGAAAATTTTGTCACCTGTTCAGAGATTGATGTGACAAAGCGATGCTTAATGAGGAGCTTCACATATTCCTCTCTATTAGTACTATTCACAACAATGCCCTTCCCACCAGGACAAAGCTCCACCACTCTCCTGGATCCTAGCTCTTCAACTTCACTGACAAATGTCAGCCCCAAAGCATCTGAATCCAAAAAATCAGCATCCATCTCCAAAATCTTTTTGCAGCTCATATACAGACATGGATCTGCATCCCGCACATCTTCCAAAGTAACAGATTTACCAGCTAGTTGCAAGAAAAAAACACGATCAAATACAATACCTACTTGCACTTTATGCATCAAAGCTAATGCAATCACCCGACCACAGAAGCCAAAATAATCAAGGTGCATGGGATCCACATTAGATGCTGCAGTTGGAACAAAATGAAATTAGAAAACAGGGATCTGCACCCTCTGAGGAAAGAAAGAGACTTGAATTATAGCAATTAAGCAGAGATGTTTTTAATGCCAACGAAAATTCATATTTTGAAAAACTGAGTTTTAATCACAGCATATGAATATTTTTCATATAGTGGACCAGCTCATGGGTCAAAATTAGGGAAAGAACAAATGCAATATCACCCAATGGCATGTGGTACCAGAAATTGACGCTCTATCCCCCAAAAAAATCATCCCATAAGTACAAAAAAAAAGTCATTACCCAAATGCTCATACTGTGCTTATGTTGAGTGAGTCTGATAAACCTGAGCCTGAGATCTTTATTCTTTAATCCTTTGAACAACAACCTGAGTCCAAGATCTTTATTCATAGAACAATAACCATTTTTTTGGTAGTAAATAAGAATATTTTATTAAAAGAAAAAAGAAAAGAGAGTACAAAGGAGGGCATGAATGAGATATCACCCAAACAAAAAACAGAAAACACAATAAAAGAGAATACACCAACCCTAAGCCCAAAACAGACCAGATATCATATCCAAAGGAATTTATACAAACATCAGCAAATTCTGGAAGAATCATAACCCAATCTAAAACTTTTTCCCAATGATTGAGACAAGACAGTCATGAGACTTGAAAATCTTCAAAAACGCTTCTGCATCTCTCCTTCCACAGCTCCCAACAAACTGCAAAAGGTAAACAGCTCCAAACAATCTTCGCCAACCTGCTTCCATTTAGAATTGGCCAATGTGTGAATATCTCTTTTGGAGACCTTGGGTCCCACATCATCATCTTGAACAAGAAAAAGAAGTAGCCCCAAATGACGTTCGCATAGCATCAGCCAAACACATAAGTGAAGAACATATTTGTCCTCCATCAAACAAAGGTAACATCTTCCCACCATCTGAACACCCTTGCTTTTAAGGTGACTTTGGGTGAGAATGCTGTCTAGAGACACCAACCATGCAAAAGCCTCAATTCTCAGAGGGATAGGATTGCCCCAAACACCTTTAATGTCTTCCCTTTCAATCTGATTTCTTGCTAATTCTTTGTAGAATGATCTTACAAAAAACACCCCTTTGCTACCCTCCTTCCACCACCTCACATCAGCCCTCTCAACCTGCAATTCCACCATCTGCAACTTAGCAATAACCATGAATCTTATTAAAGGAGAAAAAGAAAGTACAATTACAACAACCACTTATAAACGGTTAATGGGAGATAAAACCACTTATCTCTCCCTTATTTCTTCTCTTGTTTTCTTACAATTATGCCCAGAAGAATTGATCTCTCCCTGCCCCTTGTGTAGCTAGTGTATCAGCCATGTTATTAGCAGTCCTTTTTAACCTATTGAAACCTCACTTTCATATCTTTAGTTAACCATCTGAATTACCTCATCTCATTCTTGTAATTCCACATATTTGCCTCCCTGCTTTGTAGCCATCCCATCGCCAATTTAGAATCTCCTTCAATGATTAGCCTTTTTATATTCAAACTCCTCGCCCTTCGTACTCCTTCCATCGTTGACAATGCCAGGTGAAAAGACTTCTACAGCATTCATTCAACATCCATAAAAGTCTAAAATTAATCTTAGGTGAATTCTTTCATTAGTTCCCCCATATGAAGAATTTCCCATTTCAGTGGTTTTTGACCTCTTGTGACAAACCACCTCCAAATGGACTATTAGATTCCCCCCTCCCATGGGTCATTATCACCTTTAATCCTACCAAATTTCTTCCTAAAACCCCACCTAGGACCTTAGTTCCAGAATCTTCAGGTCTTCTTCAAATTTCACAAAGGACATTTTTCTTGTAACCCTTCTAAACTTGGTCACCCCCTATAACTCTCCAGTCCTTATTGAGGAGCCCGCAGTATGAAATTTTGGAATGCACAAAGTCTGAGAATATTTTAGCTCGTTCCTTGGAAAAGCCCTTCATTTGATCATCATTGGGAAACACTTCTCTGACACTTTAGAATGAGCTTCAATAAAACCCATTTACCTAGGGAATGAGAGGTCTCGCCTTTGGCCTTTCACCCTCTATGGTATTTATCCTTTGGCCAGTCATATAAACAACAAAGACCTTCCAAGAACACATTCAGGATAAGAAGTAATTTCCATATTAAAACCAAAGTCCAAAGCATGTCCTGAGAAATTCAATAACCTTTCATAGGTTTATCCTACATCAAGTTTAATGTATATACATGCACCAACCTATGAATTTAGAGCACAGCTACCAATCAAGGGCTGGCTCGTTGGTGTGTTAGCTGGGTTATTCCACCATTGACGTGGAATCAAATCCCACAACCAGCACTTTGGGGAAAAAAGGGAGGTAAAGGGGAAAAGGGGAAAAGTTATTGCTGATTAATAAAAAAAAATTTAGATCACAGCTACTGCAACATGTATTGAATCATGGGCTTTATAGGGTTCAAAGGGAGAGAAAGCCCACCCAAAACTTCACTTTGCCCTCCAACACAAATACTGTATCTGGAGTAAGTTAAATGGTGCCAAATAGAGACCATCTACAAAGTGGTTAAAATTTTCTCAACAAAAAATGTCTTTGTTTGGAAAAAAAAAAGTAGAATTAAACATACATCACAGCACTTTTTTAAGAAAGAAAAGAACAAGATTTCATTAAAGGGAAACAAAGTACACGAGATATGTACAGGGATTTCTGATTGAAATAATTGGATATAAGCAAGTTTTTTTCTCTGAAGTTTGAAGTAGACACTTCAAATGGAAAATAGTTTCTCATCAAAGGTTTCTCATTATTCATAAAAGAAGTACTCGTTCAGAAATTGATACTGTGGTCAGAAATAAATAAAAAGTACAGTAACTAGAAATTAGAAAAATCTCAGAATCCAGTATGGTTATGTGACATAAGGAAGGCTTAGACATCAAAGATTTTGTCACCAAAATATGAGAGATATAGACACATACAACAAAAAATGCTATGATTAGACAGGGAGAACATGCACACAGAAAAGAATTACCAGGATTAGGGAAGAACCTTCGTCGATCATTTGGGCACGCTAGAAAAAGGGCATTTTGTGGATTGAATATTGCTTGGCATACCAAGCAAAACCACTCCCGCAAGACACCAGGACCAGTAGCTTCCTCATTTTTAAACTCCATAAAAAGCCCACCATGCAGGGCCTCAGCATCTGCACGAGCTATGTACTCAAAGGATTCTGCCAACAATTGTGACCTGTCAATCAGCATCTCATGGATCTCTTCATAATCATCTTTCATATCCGGGAACATCATCATCACCAAATGCCTCCTAGACTCAAAATCAGTCACATCCTTATGCTGAAGAAGCCAATGATGATCATCACTTCTCTTTGCAAATCTAATAATAGTGTTCAAAGAAAACCGCCTCGCTCTCATAACAAAGCACAGTTTTTCTTCGGCACCAGGATAGAGTTTAGCGATGACATTCAATTCCTTTAGAATAGCAAGATATTGAGACCATGCAGTGCGGTGGCTTTCACTTTCTCCTGCTCCGTTAGCAACCGAAAACTCCTCCACTTTCTTAAGGCATTGATCAATTTTTCCGAGCAAATCCAAGAAATTGCCATGCAGCAATTCAATCTCATTCCCATCACATGGGCTTGTGTGACAGGCCCCATGCAAATTTCTATGAAGGGGACCTTTTCTATCCCCATCCATCTGGCGCCCAATTGCTACCTGCAGGGGCACTAAGAAAGCACTAAATTCACGGATACCACTTGCAGATATCCCTTCACATGGTAACGAGTTCATACTTGACTCTAAATCATTAGAGAGCCTACCCGCTAATTCATTTACAAATGGGTAAAACTCCCGTATCACAACGGATGGCTCTACGTGATCAAAGTACCTGGACCAATGTGTAACCCCAGCATTCTCCAACAACATAGCGAGGGTGCTTCGACATGATGCGTAGAGTGGATCATCATGAGCAGTGCTAGTAAGCAATTTACAGAATTCTAACACTATTGGAGCACACTGGGACTGTACATTTTTGGACAGAATCTCAATATTCGGAACAAGAAAGAGCCGAATGGACTCTTCGGCGCATTCTTTGTTACCTCTGAGGGGGGAGAGGTAAAGCATGACGAGCGCAGTGACCGCACCAGAAGACCTAAGAATCCGAAGATGCCCCGATGCCAACTCAAAGTCATCCCTCGGAGTCATAGTCAAGAATTCTTTCACCCGGCACTTGACAATCTTGGACGAACGGAGGGAGTCCCCCCGATATAGGCGGCATATTGAAGAAACCAAGTCGTCGACAACCTGCCAAGTACGAGGGTACTCCGTGCTCCTCATCCGCCCAACCAACTGGAGCCCCGCGTCGTTCTGGATCGAGCACTCGGCGAGCGTCTGCTCCCACTGGAGCTGCTTCCCTCGGTAAATCAAACGCTGCTCGATGATCGGAATCCCGGTTATCCTTCGAATTTGCTCATGAACAGATTCAACAGAATCCCCGGAGTTGGCGTGCAAGACAATCGTGTTCCCACCAGAAATCATCCTCACGAAAAAATGCAACCTTGAGACTGATCCTTCCATGTCTTCGGCACTCGAACTACTACTGCAAGAAGCCGATCGAGCATCGGAAACCCTAGTTCCAAGACCGGAAGATTCATCATCGGCTTTGCCGCTAGGTGATAATCGAGTCTCGTTTTCTACTCCGGAGGAATTGACGACATCGGCTTCGTCTCTCTTCATTCTTACGGAGACTAAGTCGCAGAAATCTTCGTCAGAGGAACCATAGTCGTCGAATTTCCTCTTGGAAGAAATCCGGTCGTGTCGTTGATTGACGCAGTCGATCAGCGCTTCTCCGAGAGACATCCCGGCCGCAGCTTTAAAGGAAGGGGGCGGAGATACCCATTCAGTCCCTAAACCCCAACGCTAACTGTTGCTCCTGTGAAAGTAAACTCTTCCGATAGCGACGAGGAACATACCGCAGTCAGTCGGAGTCGGAGGTAACTCGAAAAGATATACCCAAAATATCCGATTCGAAAATTGTGGGATTTTCTTATTAAATAGGAGAGAGAGAGAGAGAGAGAGAGAGAGAGGGAGATTTCACTCACGCTTCGCGCGTTCTCTCCTCCGTCAGCGGAGGATGTCTTGTCTTGTCTGTTATCTTACGCTACCTTTGGCCGGGGAGAGGAGTGTGTGTGACACTGTGAGTTATGTGCTATTGTGGGAGTGTAGTGGGTAGCGCCGCGCGGCTCGTTAACTTGAGAACAGATGCATCATGGAAATTGGACGGCTCAGATTTAGTGGCTGAACTACTTCAGTTATACATGGAAATTACCCAAGTCTTAGTCTACTTCTCCCGCGTATATACGAGTTCACATCATCGGGAGATGTTCTTCATACACGGCGGGGATGTGCTGTGGGGCGGAGATGTAATCTCCGCATATACACTAGCACAATAGACAAGAAAGAGAGAAAGGGGGGAGGGGGACTGGGGAGGGAACCGTCTCAATCCTACGTACGGCGGCGCCGGCGCGTTACAAGTTGGAGGAGCCTTTGCTGCGAAAAAATTCAATAAGTTGCCAAGTTGGAGCTGGAACTAATTCATCCATCAGAAAAGAATTCTGATTCTGCCCTAAATGGTTCGGTTGTGCTTCCACAATCACAAACAATCTGGCTATGATAGGATTTCTGGATTCTAGGAGAATTGTTTGTGAATACGCATGAATAGCCTGTATGTATCTTGCAGAAATTTCAAATTAGAGGGGACAAGGGAGTTATCTTAAGAAAGTTTTTAGGAAACCCTTCATTAATTTGGAAAGGGATTTCTCGATTTTAAAAGGGTCTACTTTCGTTTTATGGTTCAGACTTTAATTCTTACAAGTATTAAAAGCATACAAAATCTTGATCCTAATTAATCACAAGTTTTGGAGTTACTAAGCTATGATCTGAGAGTTTTATAATAGAATTTGATTCAAATATACTCTTACGCATCCATTGTCTTTAAGTAGCTCAGGTTGATAAGGTGAGCAGAGATCTCAAGTCTAAGGGTTGGTTAGTCATCAATTATAGTTGCAAGGGTAAATTATAGATAGGTATCCTGTATTTTTGGGATAGTGATAGATAGGTGACTTAAACTTTCGATTCTAACACTTAAGTACCTTAAAAACTCTCAAAAATGGACTCTTTATATCATTCTATGGAGTAAAATCATCACTAGAGAATGTTGTTGAAAAAAATGAACATATTATTTGTTATGCATGTGAGAACATAATCATAGGGAGACATTCGGTTAATTCAAAATGATATCAAAAATACATGAGAAGGGTATTTTTGACATTATGTAATGTTTAATTGACGAAATACTAACAGATTGACCAACGAATCTGATGCAGCGCAATCCGATCACTCCTATCTGGCGCTCGCGTGGCTCCTGAGAGGTGCCTGAGACGAGAGGAAAGAGGAAGAACTCTCGAGGGGTTTCCCGGCGAGAACGCTCCGATGCTTAAGTTAGTATTGTGTGCAAGAAGCAAAAGGAGAACGAATGCTAAGAGTGAAAGGTTATGCAGGTGATTCGAGTGATACGTTGTTCCTTGAGAGTAAGCCCCTTATAACTGAATTTCGTTGCTTCAGGCCCTCTGACTTCTGACATGGCAGGTATAACCGCAATTGTCAATCTGCCACAGCCATTACAGGCAAGGTTGAGGTGGCACGCGCAGGGCCGTCGCTGCAGGGTATGTGTCTGTCAGGTACGGGACACCTTTCTAAAGGTGGCAGGCGTGACGAGAGGGACAAGCCTGCTGTCCACAGATTTGTTGAGTACGGCAGTCGAGCAGGAAGCCCTCCTGTGGTATACCGAAC